GTTTGGCGTTTTTGGAGGTGGTTCATGAAAATTTTATTGTAGTTTTTTTTCTTTCTTGAAAAAATATACTTGTAAGAGAAAAAAAGTGGTTGAAAAAAAAATTGAGAGCTTTTTATTTTTATTTTTATAAATTGTTTTCTAAATAGCCTTGTTTGGATTGCCGGTTTTCGTAGAAAAATTACGTCGTTTTCCGTGATCACATTTCCCTATTACCTTTTTCCCTCACATTTATCAAATCGCTACAGTAATTTTTCCATGAAAAATCACGAAAAATGCAATCCAAACACGTAATTTTTCAATATTCCGACAATGGCATCCATGTGGGGTCAATTGTCAAACGTGCAACAAAGTTGAGAAGAGAAGGTTGTAGGTCTAGCGCATACGTTGAATAGCTCTATCCCATTAGAAGTAGCCACGTAACACGAAGGATTAGAACTCTTCTACCATCTCTTTATTTTCTTTTATTTTTTCCTTCAAAATTCTACATCATAATGGAGTTGGTAAAATAGTACTATTTTCGTCTTTGAAGTTAAAATTGTCATCAATTTATGGAAAGTTTACTATTTCTCTGATAAGGGATAGTAAAATTTGCTTTTTATGAGCGGTAAAGTTTTAAAGATTATGAAAAGAGAATTGTATGAAGGAATAGAAGGGAAAAGAAAGGTAAGAAAATGGATGGATTGTGTTTGGATTGATTTTGGGTGGGGAAAGGAGAGGAAACGGAAAGAAAAGGAAATGGATGGATTGTGTTTTGCTCAGACATCATTTCCATACAAAAATAGACGGAAACAGAGGGAAAGAAAATCTCGTTGATGATTTTCTTATAAAATGCCTCAAGCACCCAAATTTAAACTTGAGTAACCATGTATTTCATAGCTGTAGAACTTGCCATTTGTAAAACCTGCTTTAGATATGAATTGTGGGATGCAACAGCAGGCTAGGAATGTTTGACTAAGCAACTTATGTAAATATTTTATCGATAAGTAAAGTTCCTCTTTTGCTGTTAAAAAAAAAAGAGAGAAAAACCATTCCTTTAAACAGCATATTTAGGTTTTCTTTCTTTCCCATCCATATCTAAACCAAATAAGACAAATGAGAACTATTTTCCTCTACTCTCCTTTCCTTTCTTTTTCACTAGGATGTTTTATTTATTTATCTTTCCTTTCCTTTGATCCAAATGGTTCCAAAAAGGGCACTAATTAATCTACATTGATCAGTTCCCTATTTTTGTATTAATGTGCATGTGCACGATTCTGTGTACGTTCATGTTGTGCACCAAATCTTGTGAATGAAAAAGCTAGATTGTAAATTTAAGTTGAAGAAATATAAAACAAAAAGAGAAAATGGATTGGGTCCTTTAAGAGTATCAGACTTCTAAACTCCAAGGATTACATAATTTTCATATCCTTTGCTACATAAAGAAGTGGCATAGCCTTAACAATGAAGTGTTGGAAAAACTCCAGAGGGACTGTGCCATCCATGAAATCACAAATCCACTTGCTATACCATGCAATAATGTGTATGTCCTTGATGATTAATATAATGAAACCATGGTTCTAGGCCTTGAAGGAAGGAATAAGAGCGAAAGTGGAGCTAGCAACAAAATTTGCAGTCAATTTGCAGGATGGGAAGTTTGATGTGCGTGGTGATCCAGCCTATGTGAGGGCTTCTTGTGAAGCGAGTTTGAAGCGGCTTGATGTTGACTGCATTGATCTCTATTATCAACATCGCATTGATACACGTGTGCCCATTGAAGTCACGGTTTGCGCCATCTTGCCTTTCTTGTATTTTAGCTCCACCTCATTCTTGATGAAACAAAAGTTTGATCAACTCCAAATTTCGAATAATTCAGTTTCATGTCCATTTCAATTCTTCAAAAATTGCACAGAAAAGTTAGTCAACCTTATGGTCTAGGCTAATCTGCAGTATGGTATAGCTGATTTAGCACCAGGCATCCTGAAAAGTGAAAACAATGAAAATATCTTATATTAGCTTGGCAGTCCTGCTGAGGGATATACAGATGGATATCATGCTATACATTGTACAGCTTTCCTTTAGAACCAAGAGACCTGAGCACTCTCTTTCATTTGAGATAGGCTATCCGGTTGAGTAATGATATGCTATTTACATACCTTGTCATTCGTTTTCAGTTGGTGCCAAAAGCACTGCATATAGAAGTTTTTTAGTCGATATCTAAAAACATGGTACTTATTTTGTTCAGAGTACAGATTTTTGTCTAATTGTGAAAGCCAGCTGCAACTGCCCCATTGACCTCTCCAAGCAATTCAAAGATTTCAGCAGCTTACTTACATTAAGCTTTTATGAAACAATTTCTGTCTTCTTTTTCTAATGTAGTCAGCAAAGAATTGTTTTATTTTTCCTGAGTATTAGGCAGAAACTTTCTTGCAGTTTAATGACTCAAAATACAGGCAAGTATAAAGGAAATCAAGGAAAATTGACAACTGATAATTGATATGTACGGCCATTATTATATATAGACGAAGTTAACAATGTCATGTAATCATATTGGAGGAGCATTTTGTTGGCATGGTCCAGTAGAGCTAAGTCATCCGGTGGGCTGTACATAGAGAAGTATCACTGGATGCTTATTGCCATTTTTATCAATTAGCGATTTCAGTTTGACGTATACTTTGTCCACGACTTCGTTGAACTAGTGCAACTTTTACTTTTTTGCACGTAATATTTTGATTATCTGCCTAAGTATTGAATGTAATAAATCAGCTTTGCATTTTCTTGTCCATTGAAATTCTCTAGATAGGAGAGCTCAAGAAACTGGTTGAAGAGGGTAAAATAAAGTATATAGGTCTGTCTGAGGCCTCAGCTTCAACAATTCGAAGAGCACATGCTGTTCACCCAATAACAGCTGTGCAGTTGGAGTGGTCATTGTGGACCAGAGATGTCGAGGAAGAGATTATTCCCACTTGCAGGTAGTGCATATATTCTGCTGCATTTTCTACATGGTCTAGAAGAAATATGAAGTTCTCAATTCAGTTTTTGGTATAATCTTTCAGAGAGCTTGGAATAGGGATTGTTGCATACAGTCCACTTGGAAGAGGATTCTTCTCTTCAGGTCCAAAGCTGGTTGAGAATTTTACTGAAGGGGATGCCAGAAAGGTATGTGACTATAGCCAAAAAGATTAGTAGTTTCTATTGTAGTATAGTCAGTGGCAATCTTGCTCAATATCCCTATTCTTATTCATCTGTTATGTTGCTGCACTATTTGATGTCCAATAATTTGGTTGATCTTTTCTAAAACTATCTAATTTAATTAACTTCTATCCAACAGAGCTACACAATAAGCTTTTTTCTATCTGACAAGTCTTGTAGTCTTGGATTCCAATAAGTGCAGTTTTTGGCTTTGTTAGAAACTGAACCTTTCGTACAGACAGGATAGAAATTTTGTGCTCTGTATTAGTTTTTGGCATTGTCAAATATCATGAGCAGTGGGAGTGTTCTATTTTATGGTGCAAGAACATCCTAGACATGAAAAAGGGAAGAAACTATGGCATTTTTTAGTAATAGTCTCTTTACAATTTTGAGGGGAAACGGACTTACATTGCAATGTCATCGTCTGGTCTTAGGCACAAAAGTTATATATTGTCCTCTCAAATTGTTTTTTTTTTTTTTTCCCTTTTTCTATACATCCTCTAACTGAGTTTGGTTGGTCACAAGTTCACATGATAATACTGTCTAGATAGTATGAAAATGTATTGGATTTCCATTTTGAGTTTCCTCTTTAATGGGAAATGTATCTCAGGATCTACCTTCTGCAATTGATGTTTCTTGGAGTACTCAATCCACCTTACTGGATTGTTCTTTCCCCTGAACTTTCTACACCTCAAACAATACTATCGATGATCATATTGTCTTCATTTGTTGATGACACATGCTTTATTCCATTTTTGAATTTCTGGCATTCTAGTTGCTTAAATTTTGACATTCATTCAATGCAGAATATGCCAAGGTTTCAAGCGGATAATTTGGAGCACAACAAGAAGTTGTACGAGCAGGTCAATGCCATTGCTTCAAGGAAGGGTTGTACTCCATCACAGCTAGCATTGGCCTGGGTCCATCACCAAGGCAAAGATGTTTGCCCCATACCGGGCACTACCAAGATTGAGAACCTCAATCAGAATATAGGAGCTTTATCCGTAAAACTGTCCGCAGAGGATAAGGCGGAACTCGAATCTATTGCTTCAGCTATCAAGGGTGAGAGATATGCGTCTGAAGCTGGCACTTGGAAAACTGCTGATACTCCACCTTTGTCAACCTGGAAGTGCACATGAAGACGTACCTTTGTTATGGCAATAATTTCTTCTAGCTATGTGCCTGATGGTGGATTTCACTATATTGAGAGTTGAGTGATATGTGTTTGTTCCAATAAATTTCGTCATACTATTGTCTCCTCGAGGGTTAAGGCAATTAGAGTTTTTTCAGAGAGGTTGTACTGAATAAAGATCTGGTCATGTAAAAACGGAACATAATTTTGCTTGCAGTTGAATGCATTAAAGGTTATCTATTCTACTTTTGAATGCTATTAGTAATAGTTCACGTGCTTTGTACGCTATTGTAATATCTTAATTCTTAAAATAATTCCTTCAGCTATGTGCCTGATGGTGGATTTCACTATATTGAGGCATACTATTGTGTCGAGGGTTAAGGCATGCAAAGTTGTAATAAGAAGAGTGGAGTTTTTTTATGTGGTTGTAATGAAGTCATGTAAAAGCATAATATAATTTTCTCTGCAATTGAATGCATTAAAGATTAGCTATTGGACTCCTTAAATACTATAGTGGTCCATTTTATATGTGCTATTGCTATGACACTTATAGATTGTCAAACAGCATTCAATTCAAGGCTAATTAAACGCAAGGTTAATTACAATTACCTCTCTTAAGGTTTGGCCAAACTACCAAATGATCCTTGAAATTTGGTCAAATAGCAAATGCCCCCCAATTAGTAACTTCCGTTAAGTATCATAGATGGAATTGGTGAAAAGACAAGATAACCATAAGCATTATTAGTTGGACTAGTGCCTGTATTGTATTTTACAATAGGAACGAATTTTCAAACACCCAGATATAATTTTATACTCTAACAAAATCATAATTCCTTCCTTTTTTTTTAATCTTCTTCATCTCTAACTTTCTGAAAGCTTGAATATGGCAACCATGGCAGCAGCAGTCGAAGTGGATCTTTGTCACTACCGGCCACTAACCTTCAATGGTGGATCTTTGTCAAATTTGCAACTGGAACTTGAAATTTTGTGTAAATTATGATTTGATCATCAATTTTGGCCAAAAGTGACCACAAAACCACCAAACAAGTCTAAATTGTTGTATCTCGTATTCTCATCACTACTCAAACCAAATTCCACAAAATTTTTATGAAAAATATATTCATGATAATTAGAATAAAAACCAAACAGTTGCATCTCCTATTCTCATCACCACTCAAACCACATTCTACAAAATTTGTATGAAAATTATTTTCATGACAAATAGAACACAAACCAGCCAACAAGTCAACAAGAAAACATCAAGATCCCTTTATTCAAGAGCCGAAGAGACGAAAACCATTTCATTTTAAATTTTTAGATCACTAATAACAAAAAGAATCCATTTCACTTTAGATTCGCAAATTCCTCATATTTACCATGTAGAAAATTGGCACGGGGCATTTAGCAACATTGATTTGTACCAAGTGGAGTAGAAAAGTGACAAATCGTCCATGCAATTATGTGCCTTTTTGTGCTTGAAAGTTAACACATGGTATTATCCCAATTGAACCCTGTACACACTTATTGGTTATGAAGAAGTCTTTCCAGCGAAGGTTGCTGGCAAATTAATATGTTATCCCAATTGACAATCCTAACTTCAACTTTAGCCATTAAATTAAAAGGCTATTTAAATCTAAACCCATTGCAAGGTGAAGCTCTCAACTCGAAAGCACTTTCATTTTTTTTTATTTTGGTATACTCTCCTTTTCTTTTCTTTTTTCATAATTTTCATTTAATTTCTCCTCTGTTTGTTATTGCAAAGCTCTTTTTTTTTTCCTAATATTTTATTATTGTTATGTTATTTTGAATCTTTCTTCTATGGGGTAACAACTAGTGAAATTGACTTTTCATAAAAATTTGCAACTCTTTTCTTTTTCTTTTGTGGTTTTTGGGCAGTCAATTTCTTTTAGTATATTTTAGGAAACAAAGAAAAGAAAAAAAATGTTATTATTACTTCAGGAAAAAGTCAAAGAAATTAGTGATGACACATGCGTAATAGTTTTGTTATTATAAGGGCATTTTTGGCCTCTCATAATAGTTTTGTTGCTGACATCATACCTTGAATAACGTCTTAGGACAGCAAGGAAGTTTTTGATAAACGTTTGCTTAGTCAAGGGATTAGACTGTTATTTGATTTAACCTCAAGGTTTGACTGGTAGTTTGGCTAGACCTTAGGGGAGGTAAATGTAATTAACCCTAAACACAAGCATTATGAGTAAACATTTTATGCTCGGAACGTTTACATCAAAAGCAACCCCAAGGCTACAGAAAGAAAAGGTCTAAAGCATGTGATATTTCTAGAACTTCAGGGGAGGCTTGTAATGCTGACAAAAAACTTCAGGGGAGATTTATGAAATTATTCCTTAAATTAAATTAAAGGACCGACAACAACTGATATTTGGTAAATTTTAAGCACTCCTCGCTAAGTTAAAAAGTTAAAACTTTACATACAAGCAAATGGTCAAATTCAGTTTAAAATTGTGTTGTCATCTTCCGCCTTAAATGAAAATCAAACATCGAATGTATTCCCAAAAAACAAAAAAGGAAACGGCTCACCTTTGCACTTACGTCATCCAATTCCAATTTGAACATTACATCATCCATCCATTTGAAACAAACTCCTATGGAGATTTTTGTGAATTGTTTCTTTATTTTGATGTTGGATTTGAATTTATTTCAATTCTGGTTATCAGATCTAAAAATTTTTTGGATTTGGGATCTATTTCAATAGATCTTATCATCATTATTGGAGTTTAAAACCGTTTATTAGCAAATCTGACTATTGCAATATGCATGAAAGGGCGACAATTTTAAAATTTCTTGTATTTTTCATATCTTTTCATAATTTTTCAGATATATTGCATTTGTTAAATTACAAATATGCAAGTTTTAGTGCATATTAAATTTGCCATTAAGGTAGCTATGTAAATCAAATCATGCTGACCGATTTTTAGCAATTCGTTAATGAAATCTGTTTTTTATAAAAAAAAAAAAACTTAAATGTAAATTACTCTTCGCCGTTTTATTGTCCACTTTTCAATTGTCAATAACTCTTTTAAGATATTTTGCAATACAAAAATCAACTGAAACCAGTAGACTCTGCCATTAATAGCAGTATTCCTATCATGTTTTTGAATATTACTCATACATCTAATTCATCCCATTTAGAGAAAGAAAAAAGATGAAAACAGAAAGATATAAAAGTCACAAAAAACACAAATCTAGTTCAGAATTTGGCGGTGACCAATTGTTCTGTAGAATTAGTAGGATAAATAGTTGTCAGATTTTATAACCCCTTTTTGGTCAAATGTTATTTAAATTCATAGTTGGATGGTGAAATATTATTTTTAATATTTAGGTCATTACAATTCCAGTAATTTAAATTACCAGTTACTATCATCATTGGAAGAAGCACATTGAAGGAATGACACTCTAAGATGGCTACAGAATTTTTCTAGTTGGTTATACAACATATTAATATTCGAAACAAAATTCTAATCACACAATTGTATTTGATCTCAACTAGCCGTCACTACTTTAAATTGGTTTGGATCGCAAGTAATGCCATTACTTTATGTGAATCAAATATGAAAAATGCATGATATATATGAGGGAAAAAAATAAAATGTACTAGTTTTCAATTTCTTTGTGTAGAATATTTTCTTGAATATTAATTGTTCACATATTTTAGTCAAGGTTATTAATCAACCTGGACCTAATCAACACCAAACCTAGGGCAAATTTGTTGAAATATTGCCAAAAAGAAGTTCAAAAAATATTTTTGAAAAGTTTAGTTCCATTTTTCTAGCTAGGCCTATTGTGTTTCTGACATGCAGTGGACCAGTTTATTAGTTCCATTTTCTTTTTATAAAAGGAACCTGCCATATGTCTGACATGCAGTGGACCAGTTTATTAGTTCCATTTTCTTTTTATAAAAGGAACCTGCCATATGTCAGACACATGGCGAGCCACATTTAAAAATTGGTTCCTATCTTAGAACCCACCGTGTAGGGGTGGCAATCGGATCCAAATCAGGTTGTGCCGGTCGGGTTAAGATCCGGGTATAACAGAAAATCCACTGATCCGAACTTGACCTGTCAACTCGAAACGGGTCAGGATACCTAATCCGAACCCGAAAATTTCGGATTGGTAGGTCGACGCGAATGACCCGAAACTTAATTTCAATTTACTAATTTACCACTGTAATTTCTAATAAAACCAATTTTGCACAAGACTAATTGCATAATCAAATAATAAAAATTTAAATAAATAATCCCAAACCAAATCTAAAATAAATTAAAATACCATAAAAGTGTTTTATCCCAAATCAAATATAAAATAAATTAAAACAGTATAAAAGTAAAAAATAATATAATACATTATTTGTCCAAACATAATAATTTCAACTTCACAAAAGTTAAATAAATTCATTTAGGATTAAGTGATTAATGCCTTTGGAAAAAAAGAATAACTTAGTTTAGTTAGATAAAATAATTTTTATGTTTATTAAATTATTTTTAATTTGTAAACGGGTTATCGGGTCACCCACGGATTGTCCCAAATTCGACCCGTTTTCTTTTCGGGTTCACCGGGTTCAACCCGATTCTGACCCGAACCCGTAAAACCTCAACCTAAACCCATTAATTTCGTGTTAAGTTCGTATCGTATTTTCAGATCGTGTCGGAAATTACCACCCCTAATCAAATTGCCATCCGTGATCCATCCACTATAATAAGGGTATTTGGAGGCATACGAAAGTGGTGGGCTCACTGCTTCTGAACCTTTACAATTGGGTCCTAATGTGCTATTTACGTAGTGGGAATTTGTTTTAGGGATACGTACTAAGATAATTTTTTAAAAATTAATTAAAAAGAATAGAAATTTAATTATTGGAATTTCATATTGCTATCAATTTTCTCCTCCAACAAAAACATATAAATCATTTGTTTAACAAAACCTTATCGATAGTACGTCTTAGTTGCAAATTATAGAAAAGGGTTAGCTATATTGCCAAAACAATTATGTTCTTGTCAGGGCAATTTCACTCTAAATAATAGTAATACCCTCACAGACCAAGAGTAATCATATTTTGTATTGTAAAGATCCACAGAATAAAACAAGCGCCAAAATTGAAAACTAATCTAAAGTGGGATTTGGCTCATCTCTAGTTGATTCTCTCTCCATTTTCTGCAGTACCCATCTAGATGTATGACACGTATCTTCATTTATAAACAAGAGTTAGGATTAGTTAAATTTAAATTGACCTTGTCCCTTCTTAGTAATTGAAGACGTGTTTCATACATCTAAATATGCATTATACGAAATGAAGAAAGAACTCACTAGAGAGGAGCCTACGGGAGACCGATGGGGATAGAACCACCACCGGACCCTATGCACCCGTCTGGATTTCCTACTCCTACTCCTACTCTAATTAGAGGGAAGCTCAACTGAACCTACGGGAAATCGATGGGGATAGAACTACCACCGGACCAGACGGATGCAATATGCACCCGTCTGGATTTGAAGTAGAGCCACAAGAGTGGCATTTTGGTGAGAGGCAAGGTTTCCCACCAAAGCCTTAAGGGCTTGGTGGTGGGTTGTTACCCTTACTTTCTCATTTGCCTAAAGTTAACTAAGCATTCGCCAGCATGTGTGATGAAAGGGGGGCATGACTTGAAAAGACAGTTAATATCCCTAACCTATAACAGACTAATTGTGACATGATTTGCTGTAAAAAATCATAATCTCAACCTTCGGAAGTTCTGTAAAAATATAACATACTCATTAATAGTCTTGATATACTAAGCACAAAGTGTTATCAAGTAGTAATAAAGAGAAATTTTCCATTGATTCGCAATAAATAGAAGGGGAATTTACCCTAAAGAGAAGCGAAAATAGATTACGAGCTGAAGTCCATTCTCATCAATTTATCACAAGTATTCAGAACAAATCATAGTTGAAACTAGAAAGCAGAATGAATGCAGATGCGAAACACTTCCTGAAATTTGGGCCTTATAAGATCCATACCATGTGGATTGAGCTGAGAGGGAGTCCAGAATGTGGGATGCGTCTACTTTTCAGCTTGAGAGGACTTACGTTTTGTCCCATAAATAAAGGTATTGGCCCATTATACAATTGTAAAATTTATACACATTTTCTCTCTAATTTGGATAGTTTATCCCTAGCTCTATATATCCTAGGTAGGAATTCAAAAATGGAAAATTAAATATTCATACAAACAAATCACCTTTAAAGCTCTTTGGAGAATCAATAATTTTACTAATGCCCTTTCCAGCAACTAGCTCAAGCAGCAGAAAAACCAAGTTGCAGACATCCTTCTTAAAGGAACTTATTAAGTCTCATACTTCATTCTTTGCAAAAATTCTCCAATTTGAAGAAGTAAAATATGATTCTGAAAATTTAGCAAATCTCAAAGTTGGATATCCTAAATCCAAACCTAAGATTGAGCATATATTGAGCAGAAAAGAGATGATCATATAGGTTTCCTTTCGACATGAATTTCTAGACCACAAGTCTGTTGGGCTGTCATATTCTTCCAAGAATGATTGATCTCAAACATAAATTGTTAATCAATTTTGTCAAAATGATGAAGTTTGAACCTCAAATAGGAAAAAAAAGATAACAAAATACACCAACAGCAAATTGTCACATGTTTGAAAAGAAATAGTACACAACCATCACTAAATGCAGCAAAACGAAATTACACATTGGTCGTACAAACCTCATTGGTCGTTTCCACCATATTTTGACAAGAAAAGAGCCATCGATCCTTTCAATTTTCACCTCAATCTTCCACAAAAGCACCAAAGAAAGCCAGACCACACAGATGACAATCACACTCCCTGATGATATATCATCAAGAAAAAATAGAGCAATAATTAGTTGTTTGTTCATCAATTTCATTAACAAAAAGCAAAAAAAAAAAAAAAAAAGGAGCATTTAATTAGTTGTTTGTTCATCAATTTCAATGTGCTCGAGCACGCACTACAGGCAACTGAAGTAGTACAAAAAAGCTACCAAAATGTCAATATAAATTAAACTCCCTTAAATGAAAAAAAGCATGATTATTTCTACAAGCCAATTAATGGTAACGACAAAAAAAAATTACCAGATATTGCACCAGCTGATGCCCTTCAATCTATGATGATGATCTTCAGATTCTCATTTCCGTTATATTCCTGTGCTTCTTCAATTTCCCTTACTAAAGATTTGACGCCATCTCCACACTCATTCATTTTAATGGTCTCAAGAGTAGATATACGCCCTAAACAAGAAGGCATCATTTCCAATTTAGAAATGCTCCGGAGTTTTAATTGCTGAAGGCACGGGAAGTAATCATCACTGTCAGGGTCTGTCTCTATCCACTCGACAATCTGTACATATTCCAAAGTCAAGACCCTGAGTTTAGGGAATCCTCCTTCCATCAGCTCCCATTTTTGGCCCTCCGTCGACTGGGCTCGTAATTTGAGGACTTCAAGATTGGGTAGTTGTTCCATCAATGACATTTTTCTACAGGGAAGAGCCAGACCGCTAAGGCTCAACTTCTTCAAATTCATGGGAAAAGAAAGCTCAACATGCTCCCATGAACCTGAGGAGTAACTGCCCAACCAGGCGAGTGATTCTAGGCATGCTAGTCGACTCATGTTGCAGCATACTCTGTTTTGTTCCCCCAAATCGAAAATTTTAAGTCGGCGAACGTTGGGAATCCTTCTCAACAAGTTCTCTCCCTCTTCGTCAAGATAAAGAAACAGAGCAGAGAGTGTCTCTAAATTAGAGAGGTTTTCAACACCGCTGTCATCGGAGGAGAGAGGAATAACGACGCCAGGCCTTACATGTACATGCCTCAACTTCTCCATGTTCCAGATGCTATCTGGCAATGAAACCGCCTCAAAAGAATTTAGACTGAAGGTTTCCAAATGTGAGAGCTTGGCTATAGATGGTGGAATGAATTCCATGAACAGAGCTCTAAGGGCTAAGTACCTCAAACAAAGAAGTGATTCGACTTCAGCTGGAAGCTCCTTCAGCCTTAGGATAATGCCCTCTAAATTCAAAACTTTAAGATGTTTGTAGATGCAAAAAAGGAAGGAGATGTCACGCAACTCAAACTTATCTCCTAGAGTAGCATCATGGAATAGCAGAGTATCTAAATGTGGACAAAAGAGCTTTGACTTTATAAAATCCTCTCCATTGGAGCAAATGGACAACCGAGGTAGGTTGGGAGGCTGATTAAAGATAGAAAGCTCATCATATCCTCGCAAGACCTGAAGAAATTTCTTTTCTTTCGCCTCGCCCTTACAGAACTCAAATATCAAATCGTGAACGTAACAAGTTTTGACTCCACCAATGGATCTGTTTTCACTTACCATAACTAAGTTTCGGCCAATCAGGTCCATCAGATATTCTTCTGCAATATCCTCTGATCTCTTTCCTTCAATTATTTCCACAAACCCTTCTGCAACCCAGAGACACATCAACTCCTTGGCACCAATTTTTTCATCCTCTCGAAATGCAGCAAAATACAGCAAGCATGCCTTCAAGTGATATGGTAAATGCTCATAACTGAGCTCCATCGACTTTTTGCATTGTTCTGCATCAGCCACTGTGGTTGAAGTGAAACTTTCAGCAAATCCTTCCCAAACACAAATATCATGCTCTATAGTTGCTAGGACTCCAGCTACAACAACAAGTGCAAGTGGCAATCCCCTGCACTTTTTGGCAATCTCCATTCCCAATCCATGCAATGCTTGAGGACAATCTTCTTCTCCAAATACCTTCTTCTGCAGTAATTCAAAACTTTCTTTCTCACTAAGCGGGTGAAGATAGTGAGGTTTCCCCCCATATTCAACCTGTGAAGCCACATTAGAAGATCGACTCGTGAAGATGATTCTACTTCCTTTCTTATCATCCGGCAATGAAATTCCCAGCTCATTCCATACCTTAATGTCCCAGACATCATCAAAAACAACAAGATACCGATTCTCCTTTAGCTTTTTGTAGAGCTTTTCCAGCAACGCATGTTCATCCAGATTTTTTAACTCATCATCCTTCCTGGAATGTTTGCCATCAGAGCACAAAATTTGAAGTAACACATTTTTCATGTTATAGGCTTGAGAAACAGTACACCAAAGACGAATGTGGAAGTTACAGATTACTGAACTATCATTGTAAACTTTTTTGGCTAAAGTCGTCTTACCAAGCCCAGCCATTCCCACAATGGGAACAATTTCCACCTGATCCCCTCCCCATATAAGTCGTTCAATTACTTTTGCTGCATCATCATCAAGACCAACCATGACTTCATGGGCTATTGGCATTTGACCTTTTGATAGCATGCGGTGGGAAGTCTTGCTAACTTCTGGTGCTTTTAAGCTATGAAAGGAAGGAATACTTTCAATAATGCTTGAGCCACTGATCTGATCCTTAAAATGCTTGATATGGATGTTGGTATTAGCCAGCACATCATAACAGTCAAGAGCCTCTGTGGATTCTGAGAAGCTGACTTCTCCCTCCTTCACTCTGTTTAGAGAATGCGAGTAAATTATAATGCCTGCCTCACTAAGAAGAGAACCAATTTTTTTGTTTTGCTCATCCATCTTCTTCTGCTGCTCCCTTAAAATGCTTCTCAAAAACCTCAGTCCTGCATAGAGTATTCGCATTTCATCTTTCATAGCATCCATAAAGCTAGAGCTGCAGCATAACAGCTCCCAGAGACAACTTATGAGAGAATCATTGAAGTTGTTTAATATCTGCTTATCCATCATTCTATCATGCAATGATTTGGAGGATCTTGTAGCTCTAAGAACTTCCATAAAAATCTCATAGACTTGAAAATCTATAGGTGTGATTTTCTGTTGTTGCTCATATATCATGCAGCACAACTCAAGATTGTGCAGATCCTCATCTTCCCAAAAAGAACACATGTAAGAGAGGCGTGCTGCGTTCAAAGCCACCACTTCAAAGTGAGCCAATAGCGAGGTAGGAATATCTGCAGTTCCTCGCAATTTGACAAAGGGAATGACGCTTTTCAAGATTGTTAGCTTTGCTTCAAGGGCTTGGACTTGAGCACTCAAAATAGCAGAAACAAACGATTCACTAATTTGCGGATGCATATAGCCATTTGTCAAATCTGCTAGATTTTGTTGGATGAGGTCTATGAATTCCAACAGTTCATCATCTGTCATACAAGAATTTGATTGCAATGACCTGCTGCTTGCCAAAGCAAAGTAAATTTGGATGATTTCTTGCTTAAGTAATTTGATCTGTTCCTCAATTTCCAAGAACATTCCATATTCGTCCGTTTCTGATGTATGGGAAAGAGAGTGAATATCCTCCTCATATTTGTGAAAGGTATCTTCGATGCAAGATAAGAAAGATGGAAGACTCACCTTCTTCACAACATTGTCAGATTCCAAGTACAGATCATTGCTTTGGCTCCACTTTCTTGCACACATAACAAATGTTTTGAGAAATTTCATGCGTTCGATTGCACCAAGAACACCGTCAGGAACATACCGGTCTTGGAAGCTGTTCAGGAGCGACTCTAGATCAAGTAAGATCCGATCGATGCTGCAAGTGGAGGCCATCTCCATCTCTTATGCAGGGATTTTCGTCAATTTCACTCTCAAATTTTAAGAGAGAAACAAATCTCACTAACTGCAGAGCTGGCAAAGTATTTCTTTCCTGAAAATTACTTATTTGTTTCTGGTGAGAAGGTGAAGAAGAGTATTGAGATAATCAACTATTCAACTAGGTGGAATTGGCATCAAGGTGGACCCCAGGCAATGATCATCAATTATTCAACTAGGTGGAGTTGGAGCTAGGCACCCAAAATCCAAATTTATCTTGAACTAATTACAAATGGAGGAAATTGAAAAAAATTAGTTGACTGTGTTATCAACATTTTATTAGGGAAATTTGATGTGGCAATCTCTCAGGATTACAGCGAAATGCATTCTTGAAACATTTTCTGTTTTTGGTTTGTATTACAAATATGAGTCTGTCTTAGTTTCCCTAGTCATTACAAGCACATTAATTGGAGTTGATCAAAATTTTGTACGCATTCAAACAGAGTAAGAAACAAAAGAACAGCAAGGTAAAAGAGAAAATGTTGGATTATCATAAAGTCATCTTGTGTTTAGTAGAGTGAAGAAGTTTTCATTGACAAGTTTATTATTTTTGGACTATTTCATACTCCTCATATTGGAGTTGAGAAGGACCACTCCATTGGCAAAGGGTCCCTGCACCCATACTGCAAAAGCGTAAAAATTTAACTTGATTTACTGCACCTACACTTGTTTTACTTTAATCATTGTAAATTTACTGAGTCTTTGAAAAATTTAAGCATTGTTACTCCATAAAGTCACATCCTATTATTACATACATAAATTCTATGAAATAACAATTTTCATTTTCGTTACTATGGAAAAAGTAAAATGGCATTAGAGGTTTTAGTTTAATGGATTCTTTCAGTTGAATGAAAATAATTACAACTGAGCCAGGCCTTGAAAGCTTGAACAGACATTCCCTATTTTCTATATTACCCGAACAGCCAAAACAAAGTTGTTAATTCCACCGTTTTGCACTCTAAAGTGGCTAATTCTTTCAAAATAGTATGGGTTCACACACTATTGGTGCAGGCATAGGAAAAAACAAACCATTACTGGTGAGGCTCGCGTGGGGGGGATGGGAGATTTCTATCCCACATCGAAAGATCGTGGGGTCTTCATCCTGGGTTTAAGGTCCATGGGAGTATCCTCCTGTCACCAATTGGTTGGATGGATGTTTCTCGTGGGTCCCACCTTAGATTGCTCGTTTGGGCCGGTGTGTTCGGTGTTACCTCTGCGTTCGTGTTAAATTAAGTGTGCGTGTGTTTCTTCTGTCTATGGAAAAATGTATATAAATATAGATTTATTTGGTTTATCTTTTCATATTTTTCTTTTAGCATGAATCTTCAAGCTAGCTCTCCAATTTTCTTCAATTGTTTTCTTTCTTGAGCAAACCACTAAAAATTTGACCACTTTCTCTTCTAATTCCCTTCTATTAATAATCATGACCATTGATCTGGGAGATTAATAACCGGGACTGACAAAGTAAAGAATTGAAGGAAAAAAATTTGAGGGCTTTAACCCTTGAAATTTTGGAAGTAGAGAATTTGAGATTTCTACAATTACTAGCATCAATTGTATTATAAAATATACGTATCATCACAGTTAGACCTGTCAATCGGGACATATGAGTCGGACTCTTATAAGTTCAGATTCAACTCATTTAATTTGTAACACTTTCAAACTTCGGGTCATGAGGTTCAGGTTAATAAATGTGATGATCATACTCAATTCACAACATATTTCGGTTTTGAGCCTTATTCAGGCGTATTTCAAGCTCAGTTATTGCTCCTCAATTTTCTTATATAATTACTATAACTATTGAGTTGTAAAGCTAATTTAATATTGACAAGATTACCACATTAAAACTAAACATGAACAAGTAATAGTTCTTAAAAAGCACATAAATCAAGAATTTTTTAACAATATTTATATCTAATTCGTTCAAAATACATGAAAAATAGTAATAAAACATGCGGTCATAAGCCAATACATTTTCAAAAGTTGAAACTTCGTCATACCTTTGTGACTTGAATCCAAACATGCTTGATGATTTATATTTCTAGACCAAAAAGAAATCAACCAAAAAATTTGCTCAACCAATAAGAAAAGTTAGAATTTCAATTATGCAATATCAATATTGGCTCTCAAGAAAGTTAGTAGATAAGTCTTCAAATGTATTTTTGTGTTTTGAAATTTGTATATATTTAATATTTAGTAATAATATATTCGAATGTATAATTAGATTACATACATATCCTTATATATATAGCTAATTTAAGGGTTGGGCCTATATAGAGTTTGAACTTAATGAGGTCCAAACTCGACTCATATTTAATTCGGACATAATTTTTAGACTCAAAATCATATCGGCTTAGTGAAAGGTTGGGCTCATCGGATTTTTTTTGGGCAGAACGAGCCAAGCTCGGGTGGCTTGGCTCCGGTGACAATCCTAATCATAATAAATATAAACACTAAGATAATAAACATAAAGAGTAAAATGATAACGTTCAAAATTAATGAGTGCATTAATGTTACCAATATACAATGGTCAAAGAAAATGATTAAATTAAAGAAGTAAAAAATTCTACTAATTAGCAGCAGTACTTTTTTCAAGAGTCAGGACATAAATCCATACTAATTATTTATACTAATTTATCTATGTATCATAGATATATTTTTCAATTATCTTTTTATCTCATATATATTATATCAAAAAAATTGAGAAAATATTTTTTAAAAAAATCATCCGAGATAATCTCCTATCTAGACGCAAGTATATGCCCATTTTAGTGTTACTTGGGCCATTGGAAATTAATTGAAAGTCTTCTCATTAGTATTTCTTCAACATTGAGGGTGTCCATTTGGAAAATTAGAGAGAAGGGGACTGGCTGCTCTTCGGGTCAAACACGACCAGAGAACCCTCCCTTTCCTTGCTTTTTAACACAGGGTTCATGGCTAAGGCATACTCATATTTTTAAATGTTTGATATCAATTCTTCTTATTTACGTAGAAAACTTCCACGAGTTGACTGAGAATTAGGTCCTATTTGATAATTCAATTCAATTCAATACTTAAATTTAATAGATTCAGATTTTAACATGTTTAAACATATTTAATAATAAAAAATTAAACATTTGAATTAATTAAGCAGTACTATATTTTTTTTGGCAAAATATATACTAGAAAATAAGTGATAAGTTATTCACTTATCACTTAATATGACATACATTCAAATGTATTAGATTTAATACTTAATAATCACTTATCACTTAATATGACATACATTCAAATGTATTAGATTTAATACTTAATAATTTAATAATTTTAAAATTTCAATTTCAATTTTATCAAATGCATCTTGTGTCATAGTCTCAAGAGTCAGAACTTAAATGCACGCTAATACTGCTTTTGTTTGGATACCAAATTTTTTTAAATAATATTTCACTTCCATTACAAACATATTTTCAACTCATCTTTTTATATTTTCAACCACCTTTTCATCTCACATACATCACATCGTAAAAAATGCTACATTAATTATTCCAAATAATATTTTAAATAACACTCTATTCAAACAAACCCAGCTCTATTAGAAATCAATTCAACTCTTAATATTAGTCTTTCTTCCACATTCGGCGGGTCCATGTGCAGAATTCGATAGATTGAATGAGACCGGATACAACCACAGAGCTCTAGCTCAGTGGCCACCACTGGCCACCACCACTCTTGGTGGGGTGGGAGGTCAGGGGTTCAATCCTTGCCTCCCACCAAATTGCCACTTTAGGTGGCAGCTTTAATTAGTTTTTTTCGATGGAGTCTCTACTCACATCGAATCCCCCTCCCCTTTCCCCTAAATTAGGATAGATTAGGTTATAGAAATTCTACCGTTTCGACAAAAAAAAAAAAGAAAAAAGAAGGAGACCGGATAGTGTTCTGGTCAAGAATGGCCACTGGACGGTCCCTTTTCCTATTCCTTAATTGAAGCTTTAGCCTTTAAGGGGCAATGTTTTAGACGGGAGAAGATTTCATTCACAATGTGTAACCGATCTCTAGCCTTGTGATTCTAACCTGCTCCATTTTTTATATGTGAGCAACTATATTCAGGTTTTCGGGGACCTGAACAATTTTGGGCTAATTGATATATGTCACAAGAACATTTTCATATTCTCTTGTGGTTAAATTTAATAATATTATAGACAGCTAATGAGTTGATAAGACTTTTATAGTGCTATATTTATCTCTTAGATAGGACTACAAACGAATCTTGCAAGCCAGCTTTTTAGCAACGAAACTGCTTCAATATTGGTTGACTGAGCTCAAGCAGTTAGATCAAAGTATCAAATCAAGTAGTTTGATTAAGAAAACACTCCTAAACTTCATGATATGTAGACATTCTTTTTAACATTAACACTGATCATCTATTTTAAATTCCTTCAAGGAAAATATTATAATTAATACCTACTTACATATGAGCTCAATTAGATCAGATCTATGCAAGTGGAGGTCATCTCCATCTCTTATAATGCAAGGCACTTCCTCAATTTCACTCTCAAATTTTTAGTGTAGCACAAGGAGAAATATTAACAAATGTCGCATTCTCCAGAACTAGCAAGTATTTCTCTTGTGGAATATTCAATTATTCAACAAACAAACGGAGCAAGAAAGAAAAGGTTAACAAATAACAACGTAGCAGTGACAATTAATGTTGGAATCACGAGCAAGTCGCATCTCGGTTTGGAAAAGCAAAGAATTTTTTTTATTCATTACTTTATGGTTTTTGAATGAATTATTTCCCTCTCATTTTGCAGCTAAGAAGCACCAGCGTCGGCATTGTCCACTAAGAAAGGGACATACACCTAGACCTTTTTTTTAATTTAAAAGATTTTCGCTTTCCATAAGGAAAGACTTTCTTGGAATTTTCGAGAGAAAAAGAGCATATAAGGGGCCAAAAAAAAAGAAAGGAAAAAATTAAAGTCGAACAGAAATTTTTATTATCACGAAAATAGTTTCTTTCATTTTCAAGTGCAAGGGAAAAAGAGAATGATAATTTATAATTAGTGATCTATGTTAGCTTTACTTCGCTTTTTTTTCTTTTCATTGAAAATTCAAGCATTGTTGTTCA